CATTAGAAAATTAAACAATGAAAATAGCGAGGAAATTCTGGCAAATTAACACGCACGTGACTAACCGTGAGGGACATGAACACGATCACATCAACCGGAAGTTTGTTTTGGCAACCTTGTAGCCCCAGGTCTCTCGCCTTCCGCATGTACAAACTACGTTGCACATGGCTTTAGTCATGGATGGTAAGCGGCCTTAATGTTTTTCATCGATTTGCCCCTTATTTTGCACATTCGTATTATCCGAATTATGCCATGAATACATTATGAGATTTATTTTTGTTACTTTTCGTCTTCCGGTTGTGGTTTATGCGCGTGTTCGTGTCGCTCGTACGAGCAATCCATCACGAGCCTTTCGCGAGCCTGCTCGTTTGTCAGGGTTTCTCTTTGCTACATTTTTCAATGCGTACGGAAACAATATTTGATGATATTCAAGCTTATTCTGTGCTCGATTTTCCGTCAACAAAACCTCCACTAAACAGTCAAAGGAGAACAAGAGAGTCGGAAATCTGCAACGCGTCCGCCATCTTCGAAGTTTCAGGTAAGCTAAATTTATTGATACCCTTGAATCGGCCCCATTGATAGTTCTAGGCTTTTTAAATTTTCATTTTCCCATTGATTTTATAGGGGGTCAGTAGGGGGGTCAGTAGGGGGTCAGTGTTTTGTCGAAACCCAATATTAAGTCATAATAGTTTATAGTCTTTAGGGATTAGTAAGTTACAAACCACCTTTCCTTATCCATCGCCTACTAATTATGATTCAATCCGAAATCAGTATAAATCTACTAGCGTTCTACCACGAATGCCGTTCTCTGCATTATTGGATACGCTACTTATTATCTATTCTGTTGTAGAAAGTCAGGAGCCTAACATTGTGTGGTTGTTAACAAAATGGCAGCCACCTCTTTACGTTTCTAAAAGGCAAAAGAAAAGATACTTGGCTTCCATGGCCTTTTTACATTAGTAGATAGTTGACTGTCATTTTACAATCAAAAATGCGGCTTCTGAATAAAATGCAAATGTGGTACAATTGTCAATAATCCTCGCCTATTTTATTATTTAGCAAAAACATGAACCTGTCTTTTAGTTTAAGTTTTGAACGACATGTAGATTTATACTGAAACTGTCGACTCTCTTCTATGCGTGATAGTTGACGAGTGCACAGCCCAAGAAGGGAATCTCGAGCTCTGATTATTAAATAGAAAAATAATTTAGTGTTAAAACCATTCATACAGGAATGCTGCCCACCAAATGTTGCATCAAAAGGTCTAATTTTCAACGTGTACAAGATTTTTAGAAATTAAATTTAGTGTTATTTGTTTTAAATCTTGTTCCTGTAATCATTTATTTTGAATTGCAATTTAAGGGAAATGTGTTGACCAGTTAAATAGCTACAACTGTCGGTGTGACAGAGGTTACACAGGACGTGACTGTGACATAGATATTGACGAGTGTCAGTCATCCCCTTGTGTCAACGGTAAGGTGTTATTTTTACTATTTTGATGTCTTGACCATATTTAGCCTGTTTGTTGTTGTTTTTGGTTGTTGTTGTTTTTGTTTGTTTGTTTTTGTAGTTCATAGGTCTAGAAGGAAGAGCTATTCTGAAAGTGTCAGTTAGATCAAATTCTTCGAAATCTTTATTTATCTTTTTTTTTTTTGTTCAGTTTTGTTTATCAGTTTATGCAGTAATAGCTTAGTGGGTCAAGTCGTTTTTCAATTTGAGCATGGGGAGTTGGTCGTATTTGACGATATTTCTCGAGATTTTTCGTCCCTCATTGATAATGTCAGGAGGCCATCCTGATCATGTCTGTTCCTACCGCGCAGTAATGGGGTTGGGACTATTGAGAGTATGATGTCATACTCGCAACGTGAAACGTTATCGGTTCTGAATTTTTCTGAGAGTTTATATTCTTGGACGAGATGTTGGTAAGTTTCACCGGATTAATCTAGTCGTTCCGATTTTGGTTCACGGGATGTGAAGTCGATCGAAAAAATCTTTATATGACGTTTTGAAAAACCTTTGGAAAACCTTGTGACCTCGTCTATTGACGGTTTTCGTGTGACGTCATCACAATTTCAATATTTTGCGTTGCGTGACATCAAAATGGCGACCCGAGAAGGGTGAGCGTTGGTCGATCTTGGTCAAGAGATGACTAATCTAAGTTTTCTTCTAACTAAACAGTTCTTGCATTAGATGACGCATCAATTTCAGTGTATCGGAGACCTAGTCTAATAACGTTTCGTTTAAATGTTAAAACTCAATTACGGCAGATGTGTTTAATACTTTATGGCGACCATATTTGGTGCTCCGCAGGAGAAAACCAACATGGCGTCTCCATACCAAGCTCTATAAATTTGGAGAAAATATTTCGCGAAATAACGCAGATATGAAAACGTGTACCTAAATCTCGGAGAGGTTGTTAATGTGTCAATCATCAATCGTATTCGTGACTTAATTTATTGAATCGTTTGCCATCTTAATTTTTGAAGGCATGACTGTGAAAACAAGTAATTGCCGGTTTTCATCTAAAGTAAAAGTCGTAACCCTTCAATACATAAATTAAAAAATCTGGGATATCGTAGATTAAGGTCTCTGCGGTTTTTAAGAGGGAATGTCCACTAGGACCGAGCCATATCGAAAATATGTGGCACATGATGAAAAATCAAAATTTTTCATATTCCTCC